GTCCCCGGGGCCGCCGCACCTGGCCAGCCTGGGCCGCATGGATGGATCCGGCCTTTGTTCGCTCCACGCACCGGGCTGAGGAGGAGGCGGCTCCTGGGAGTCGGGCCTCGGGGCTGGGCTGCAGGGCTGCATCGTGAATGGTGCCCGGGGCGATTCACAGGGAACAACACCCAGGTGCCCCCTCGGGGGAGAGGAGGGCCTTGAATGCCAGGGCTTGGCTTGGCAAGATGTCTAGTGATGTGGGTTGTTTTCTGAGAGGGATTTTGCAAAGTTCTAGTTTGGAAGGAAGCAAAGAGAGAGAAAGGGAGGGAGGGAGGGTGGGAGGAAGGGAAAGAAAAAAAGGAAGAAAGAGGCCTAGCCTCGTTGCTCAGTGGTTAGAGCGTCAGCCTGCGGACTGAAGGGTCCCGGGTTCGATTCCGGTCAAGGGCATGTATCTCAGCTGCAGGCTCGATCCCCTGGTCAGGGCGCAGGGGCAACCAATCGATGTCTCTCTCTCACATCGATGTCTCTCTGTCTCTCCCCCTCCCTTCCACTCTCTAAAAAAAAACAGAAGCGAAAAGAGAAAAAGGAGAAGTGTATGGCGAACGCTCTCCCAGCCTCCGCGGGTGCTGGTGTGTGAGCACTGATTTGCATCAAGGTCCTCAGTTATTTTATGGAGCAATCGGGCCCCTGGTGACACTCCCCCGCCCCCGGGGGGGCTCTTTTCTGGGGCTGTGCCAGCTAGTGCCTTGACGCCTGCCTTCCCCTAAAAACAACACAGCCCTTTTGGAAAGTTGCATAAACCATGTCATAATGTCATCGAGATGGTAAGTGCCTCAGACATTTCGGGTCTTGTTGCCGGAGTGTGGTTTGTGCAGCCAATTTCACAAGAAGCCAGAAAAGGCAGCCAGATACCAGCCCCCCACCCCGTACCCTCCCCAATGCCACCCCCTGCTGGTAGGAGAGCAAAGCACTGCAACCTACTTGGAAGGCAGTTTTGTCCAAGCTGCAAATTACAAGTGCGTTTACCTTTGACCCGGCCGTCCCACTTCTGGGAATTCTCCTCTTTGCCACGTTTGTTTGTGACAGTAAGAGATTAGACCCCAGTGTCCACTGATAGAGGAAGAGAGAAGTGAGTGACCCAGCACCCGTCAAAGCATGAAACACAACTGCAGACGTAAACCCGGGAGCGAGAAGCGCGCCCTCTGGTGGGAGGGAAAGGGTACTGCATGGTGCGGGACAGGAAGCAGAGAGGTTTGTTTTATTTTATTTTTTTAAATCTTCACCCGAGGATATTGTTCCATTGATTTTTAGGGAGAGTGGAAGAGAGAGGAAAAGACAGAGAGAAATATCCACGTGAGAGACACACATCGATGGGTTGCCTCCTGCATGGGCACTGACCAGGGCCCAGGCAGGGAAGGAGAAATAGTGACCAAAATATTTTCTTCTTAAAAAAAATGTTTTTATTGATTTCTGAGAGGAAGAGAGCGGGGGAGAGATAGAAACATCAATGAGGAGAGTCATTGATCGGCTGCCTCCTGCACGCTCCACACTGGGGATCGAGTCCTCAACCCGGGCATGTGCCCTGACCGGGAACCAAACCATGACCTCCGGGTTCATAGATTGACGCTCAACCACTGAGCCACGCCAGCCGGGCCTCTACCTGGGTTTTTCCATTATGTGAATGTATTATCTAACTCTCCCCACAAAGCACCCATTTCCCCCCAGTTGAAGCCCTAAAATGATGAGCAGAATATTGGTCCCCGAGACCAGAGATTCGACGGGAGAGCTTACTGGGTGCAAATGCTGCTGTGTAACAGGAGTGGAAACGGGCCCACATTTCTCCGTTGGTTTTCTTCTTGCTCCTCCCTGCACTTCATTTTTGCAGCCCCCATAATCCTAGGGCCTCGTGCCAGCTGTGGTTTTTCCTAAACCCTTGAACACATAAAAGAAAGAATCCCTTTGCAACAGGTTCTTGGACTATTGTGTTAACCAGGGGGCTCAGGTGCTGGAACTCTGTGGCAACGTCGCCCTCTTGTGGTTCGGAGCTGTTACTGCTACGAGGAGGTCTCTCTTGGGCCCAAAGAGAGTCCTGACCAGATATTTTACTTCCTGGCCCATAACAGCCGGTTCCTAATGACCACCGTCACCAGCATGTTCCAGGGTGACACCGTGGTCCCTGATTTTTGACTGACTAGCTGGAACCCGGATTCTTTATCCACCTGAGTGTAAGGTGGGGGAAAGGGTACTGGGGGTCGAATCTGCAACCTGGGCATGTGGCCTAATAGGGAATGGAACCTTGATCTGGTGCATAGGTCGAATGCTCAACCACTGAGCCACACTGGCCAGGCAATGGTTCATCTTTTACAAGTGAAACATCACAAAGGAGGTGTTAAACAGTTAAAGGAAGAAAATTCAGCCCCAGCAGATTTGGCTCAGTGGGTTGGCCTGCGGCCTGAAGGGTCCGGGTTCTATACTGGCCAAGGGCACATGCCTAGGTTACGGGCTCAATACCCACTAGCAGCCGTGGGCAAACTACGGCCCGCGGGCCGGATCTGGCCCGTTTGAAATGAATAAAACTAAAAAAAAAAAATAGACCGTACCCTTTTATGTAATGATGTTTACTTTGAATTTACATTAGTTCACACAAACACTCCATCCATGCTTTTGTTCCGGCCCTCCGGTCCAGTTTAAGAACCCATTGTGGCCCTCGAGTCAAAAAGTTTGCCCACCCCTGGGTTACACAGTTCATTCAACTTGGTCGCTGGTTGGGTGCTGGGCATACAGCATTGTACTGCAGACTGAAGGGTCCCAGGTTTGATTCCAGTCAAGGGCACATGCCCATGTTGCAGCCTCGATCCCCAGTAGTGGATGTGCAGGAGGCAGCTGATCAATGCTTCTCTCTCATCATTGATGTTTCTCTCTCTCTCTCCCGCCCCCTTCTTCTCTTTCTAAAATCAATAAAAACATATTTTAAAAACAAAAGACTTGGCTTGGTACCACGAGGGCCTATGGTCTCGCTCTTTAAAAATCATATTCCTATTTGTCAATTAGCTTTTGAGAGAGCTAGGTATGTTCCCTTCAAAACCTTCTGGGGGGGAAAAAAACCCACCCCAAGTCACATTTCAAATAGGTTAAGAGAGGCGAGTGTCAGGCAGCGGGTGCAGGACACTGTGGGCGGAAGACGGGGCCGTAATGAAGGGGACTGTCTGTGACGGTGACGCCGAGCGCGTGTTGGGGACCCTCGCTGGGCTCATTCCTCCCGAAGAGGTTTGTCTTGCGGGCGGAGGAGGAGAAAGGCGGGGATCAGCCGCCTTTCTCAGCCGAGAAGGTGACGGGGCGGCGGGACCCGGCTGCGCGGCTTCCCCACAAACGTAAACACTCGGGGTGAGCGGACGGGGACACCT